CCATCTCCTTGTCCCACTGTTAGGCTGGAAACACTGACAGCGCGCTCCAACACGCCCCAACTCAATCCAGCCATTCCCTTTAGCCCCGTTGTTCAGCCAAAATCATCTCCTTCAGCCTTCAAAGCCTCTCGGGCGCCAGGCTTCCAGCTGCCATCGCCATTCGCCTTAGCCCCGTCGCTCAGCCAAATCCACCTCCCCCAGCCTTCGACCAAAGGCAACACGAGCCGACGCTTGGGCACCAGGCTTCCAGCTGCCATCCCCTTGTCCCACTGTCAGAATGGAAGGACAGACAGAGCACTCCAGCGCGTCCCGATTCAATCCAATCAGTCGCCTTAGCCCCGTCGTTCGGCCAAAGTCACCTCCTGCAGCCTTCAACCACACGCGCCACACGCCAAGACAGCACGAGCTGACGCTCGGCCACCAGGCTTCCAACTACCCTCTCCCTGTCCCACTGTCAGACTAGAAAGATGGGCGAAGCGCTGCCACGTTCAGCCAAAGTCACCTCCTGCGGCCTTGAACCACAGGCGCCACACGCCAAAACAGCACGAGCTGACGCTCGGCCACCAGGCTTCCAACTACCCTCTCCCTGTCCCACTGTCAGACTGGAAAGACTGGCGAAACGCTGCCACTGACTCACTCACTCACTCACTCACTCACTCACTCACTCACTCACTCACTCACTCACTCACTCACTCACTCACTCAATCTCAACTCACTCACTCATTCACTCCCTCGCTCACTCGCTCGCTAGCTCGCTCGCCTAAACGAACCACCGACCCCGTAAGATTACAACAAACTTCTTCGCGGTACGACCACAACCAACCAACCAACCAACCAAACGAACAAAGACCAAAACAAACAACTGATCAAACACTGCAAGGCACCAAGCGCGCAATTTAGGCTTTCTGGACCCCGGAAAATTCTGGATGTATGGGACCCGGAAAATTTGGAATTGATGGGATCCGGAAAATTTGGGATTTATGGGGCCTGGAAATTTTGGGCTCCTCGTCTGATCTCCTCGTCTTCTCTCCTCAGCCCGTTTTCTCTCCTCGTCTTCTCATCTCGTCTTCTTTCCTCGTCTTCCCTTCTCGTCTTGTCCCCCTCTCCTCGTCTTTCCATCTTCCCAACTCGTCTTCTCTCCTCGTCTTCTCTTCCCGTCTCTTCACCTCGTCTTTTCTCCTCGACTTCTCCCCTCGTCTTCTCTCCTCGTCTTCTCTCCTGGTCTTCTCTTCCCGTTTTTTCTCCTCGTCTCCTTTTCTCGTCTTCTCTCCGCGTCTTCTCTTCACGTCTTCCCTTCTCGTGTTCTCTCCTCGTCTTCTGTCTTCTCTCCTCATCTTCTCTTCTCGTCTTCTCTTCTTATCTTCTTTCCTTGTCTTCTTTACTAAACTTTCATGAGACCCTATTCCTGCGCTCTGAAACACTTGTCAGCTAGCAATCTACTTGTGTCTGAGGGAAGAAACAAAAGTCGATTGCGCTGGCCACCAAAAAAGCATCAAGCAAAGCATGACCATACAGCCAAACAGAGCCCGGGCATCCACCCAAAGGGTGCGAAAGATCTGGGGGCGCTAACCACCAACAAAGCATCAAGCAAAGCATAGCCATGCAGCCAAACAGAGCCCGGGCATCCACCCAAAAGGTGCAAAAGATCTGGGGGCCTGCTTCAAAGTGTGCCGGACCTCTTGCCTCTCCAGGTGGCACCTGCGTTAGCTCTTGCATCGGCAGGAGTCCCCTGTGGGGGCATCCCTCAACCTAAGGGGAAGCGAGTGCCGATGCAGAGAGAGCAACGTCAGGAGCCACTTAGAGAGGCAAGAACTCCGACACACTTTGAAGCAGGCTTTGATCCAGCGGACCTATTCCTGCGCTCTGAAACACTTGTCAGCTAGCAATCTACTGGTGTCTGAGGGAAGAAACAAAAGTCAATTGCGCTGGCCACCAACAAAGCATCAGGCAAAGCATAGCCATGCAGCCGAACAGAAAAGTGTCAAAACATAACGCGGGTCGGCGGCGCTGGGCGGCAGCCCTTAAATCCGGCCACCGGGGGCCCCCGACCCCGTGGTCCGTGATACGGCCGAAGGCCTAGGCCCGCAGGGCCTACCTTCAGGTATAAGGCCGGCCGCCCTGTGCCGCCGACCCACCGCCGACCATGCGCTATACTTTTGCGCTGCGCCAAGCTGGGCCCACCCTTATAAGGGGCGAAGGATTTGCGGATTTGTTCAGGCGATTTTTGGCGGCTTTTTGAGCATCTCCCCGCGGAGTCAAAAAAAGGGTGTTTTTTGGGGGGTGCTCATAGTGGACAACATCCCCGGCATCACCTGCATCATCCGCATCCTTGGCGGACATTGATGCGGATGATGCCGGTGATGCGGGGGATGCTGGGGATGTTGTCCCCGAAGTCGGACCAACTTTGCCGAAAACGTGCGACCTGAAAATCTTAAAATCTTAAAGTGGATGGAAAATGGATGGAAAATGGCCTGGATTGAAATCTCAAAATCCTAAAGTCTTAGATTCTTAAAATCTTAAATTAAAATCTAACAATCAATCTTAGAATCTCGAGATCTTAAAATCTTCGAACTTAGAATCTTAAAATCTGAAAATATAAAAACATCCTAAAGTCTCGGGGGATGCTGGGGATGTTGTCCCCTAAGTCGGGCCAACTTTGCCGAAAACGTGCAACCTGAAAATCTTAAAATCTTAAAGTGGATGGAAAATGGATGGAAAATGGCCTGGATTGAAATCTCAAAATCCTAAAGCGTAAAATCTGAAAATATAAAAACATCCTAAAGTCTCGGGGGATGCTGGGGATGTTGTCCCCTAAGTCGGGCCAACTTTGCCGAAAACGTGCAACCTGAAAATCTTAAAATCTTAAAGTGGATGGAAAATGGATGGAAAATGGCCTGGATTGAAATCTCAAAATCCTAAAGTCTTAGATTCTTAAAATCTTAAATTAAAATCTAACAATCAATCTTAGAATCTCGAGATCTTAAAATCTTCGAACTTAGAATCTTAAAATCTGAAAATATAAAGACATCCTAAAGTCTTCGAATCTTGAAATCTTAAAACCCTTATGTCTTAGAATCTTGCGATCTTAAACTCTTAAAATATGAAATTCCTACAGTCTTAAACTCTTACTCTTGAAATTTGGAAATCTTGAAACCTCAAGATCTTAAACTTACAACCTTAGAAGATCGAATCTTACAATCTGAAAATATAAACATCCTAAAGTCTTCGAATCTTGACTTCTTAAAACCCGAATATCTTTGAATCTTCAGATGTTAAAATCTAAAAATATGAACTTCCTAAATTCTCAAAGTCTTAAAATCTCAGAATCTGAAAAGCTTTCAAAACTTAAATTCTTTAAATCTCGAACTATTGCAATCTGAAAATCTTAACTTCATAAACAAGTAAAATATAATAAAATTCCTTCAATCCGGGCTATATTCTAAATTCCTTAAACTCTTAATCTTGAAATTTTGAAGTCTTGACATCTTAAGATCTTAAAATCTTAAATTCCGAAAGTCGCCAAATCTGAAAATCTCGCCAAAAATAAAATCTTAAAGCCTTCGAAATCTGATAATGGATGGAAAATGGCTGGGCAATGGCCTGGCTGTTATAACCTTCAAACACCTTAAGTCTTTGAATCTTAAAACCTTAATTCCTAAACCATTGAAGCCTTAAATTCCAAAAGTCTTCACCCTTAGAATCTCAAAGTGTTTAGAATTGCTTAATCTTAACATCTACTCATCGGACTTACCGGAAAGGGAAGTGACAGAACGGGCAGGGCAAGGTGCCCGGTGGCCGGCTGTGTCGCGTCAGCGTGTAAATAAACTGATTGATTCCCAAACGTGATCTACAAAGTTGGTCTGGGCGGATGGCGCCGAAAAAGCCTGGACGCCGAACCTTTCCCGACAGAAACAACATGATGTGCACAGGTCTTCCAAGCCCAGCTTCCATTGGAGGGGAATCTATTTGTCAGCCCGGGTGTTGGATTTACACCGTTTAGGGCATGTTGCGGGATCTTGGTTTGGCGTGAGCGACAAGGAAAAGACCGGGAAACACGGTCAAAGCAGTGAGTCGCGCGACCCAAAGAAGCTTCCTCTTGGCCTGATGACTTTTTGGATTCCATGTTGCCATGCGGCATTGCAAGAATACCCTAAAGTTTTACTAAAGGCCTGTCATCTCCTCATGCCTACCACAAACAGGCCAGTTGACCCCTAGCAACGAAAACAACCTTTTGCAGCTCAATTTGGAATACTTTCCACAAGACCTACAGGGCTCTTTTCCGGATCCAAATTTCGAACTGGTGCAAACTGGGCGCGCACACATGGGCGCCTCAAGAGGAGATTCCTGCGCAACATGAAATGCCTAAAACGGTCCCCCAGACGAAGATTCCTCTACAAAATGCCCCCGAAAATCACAAAACAAGGAAACCTCTTTCTGCCGATAGCCCCGAACAAGAAACCAACAAAGGGCAAACACTTGCCGTGCCTACCCTTCCTCCCACTAACATGGGCACCTGTGGGAGGGCACCTGAAAGATCAGTTTCCTCTTGCAAAAACCGCCTGTCAGGTGTCATGGCAACGCGGGAGAGAGGATATTCCAGGTCTGGAAGGCGGAACTGGTGGCGAAAAGGGAGGCGCAGGAACGAACACCAAGCAACCTTAAACTGCGCAAGCCGTTTGGGCAAGCTGCCGGACCACAACGCGGTGCCTGCAATTGCTTCTTACGCACCATGCGCCACCGACCCCAAAAAGCAGCAACGATATACAATGCATGGCCATGGCTCAACAGCCCGTAGCCCCAATCAACAGCCCAATCCCCCTTAAATAGGCCCAATCCCCCTTAAATAGGCTCCAAAATGGGTGGTTGCACCTACCCCAAAATGGGATCCCATTGCTTTTGACCCACAGCCATATATTATCCCAGCACCCATACCTGGAAGAGTAGCGTATGCCTTGACAAAGTCACAGGCATACGCTTCAACCAGGTCCAGTAAAGCCTGC